TTGCCATTTTTTAACCAAAGTAATGGGTGCATACTCTCCCATCTCTGCAGGCCTGTATCCATCCATCTATCCATGCTGGCACTGTCACAAAAAGTTCTGCTTTCTTCTTTGCTCTATTAATACTACGTTAGTAGGAATAAAGGGACATCTCTCAATTAAGGCCTTGTGGATTTCTGCTTCCCTCTAACTTGCCACTTCCACGTTGAGCACTCTGCTGGCTGCTGCCGCGAAGCAAAAGCTGCCTGCAGAGAGGACGAGCTCTACCGTTTGCAGAACTCTCTTAGAAACGGGGGAGTTTTGTTTTTGCAGAATGCCAGACTGTTCATGTTTGCAAATGTCAACATTTGTAAAAGCCGTCGTTGAGCTCCAGCAGACTGAGGGCCCCCAGAGGGATTAGAGGAGGCTCTGTTTACCTGCTCTGAGGAATGCTGCCCTGCACCGACGCTTTTGTATCTGACAGGGACCCAAGGTCACAGTGCCGGGAGAGATGGGCCGCTTTGTCCCTCCCTGAAGTTTCCACCTCACAATATCAACAGCACAACACAATGCGGGAGACGAAAATGGAATTCCTGCTCATGTTGCAACAGTGTTCAGAAACCCAGGTTCAGAGGCCCCTTTTACCTTTGATGGGTCTGAGTGATTCACCAACATTTATCTTTTTTTGTGTGCATGGGCTTTTCTTTCTTTTATTTTTTTTTTATTTGAATTTATAGTCTCACATTTTCAGAACTGCTTTTGTTCTTCTGCTTGACTGTATGATTTTGCTCCCAGCTTTACAAACACTTTGACTAGAGTTGGTTATATAAAAATCCCTTTTCCAGAACTTCATTCAGGTTTTACGTTAAGTATTTACACCCAGCTGCAGAATATTACGTCCAATTGTCTAATTTAACCACAAGGTGTCGCCCTATCACTGAAGATGATATCTCCAAAAAAGCTAATGCTGTAATCGATTTGAGAAGATGTGCCGCCCGATGCCAAAGCGCTCCACTAGAGGACAAAAACGCATCTCTGAGAGCTCACTATTAAGTGCTGCATGCGCACTATAAGTCTATGAAAATACTGCAGGATTATAGTGATTTGTTAAGACTAACAAAGCTGTAATGTGGACTAGTGGGACTGCAGCGTTTCTTTATAATGAGCCCCGACTGTCAGTTACTGTCGGATGGAGCGATCTGACCTGAACCAGCAGACGCCGAGAGGCAGACCTGTGGCCAACAAAGACGCTTCTGTTTAATTTGTCTGCGCGTTGGAAGTTATTTGCGGAGGGCAGACCTCGTTAAATTTGACATAGGCTTTCAACATTTCGCAAGCATGCAAAAGGTAGATCAAAGCGCAATATTCTCCCCGGTTTTTTGTGCGTAAACCATCCAATAGGCTGTGGGGATTTTTTTTTGCGGGGGGCGGGCGTAAACCAAGCCAATCTCTTGACTGAGTCCAGATTATAATTTGGTTGTAAATGTCCAAATAATATGGCCAAAAAGCCCCCGTTCTTCCCACTACTGTGTGGTTCCTCTGACACTGTTTTTTGAAAAAGACATATAACAACTCCAAGTTTGAAAATGTTCTTTATCTCATTTTATAATAAACATATAAATAATAAATTCTAGACATTTTTTGACACATCGCCCTGTTATGAAAGTTAACTGGTAGGTCTGCCTATATATAGTCTATTCAAACTGTGCATCAGCCTGCAGTTCATTTCTATAAAACTATTTCCCTATTACAAAATATGAAAAGAAAAATAAGATTTTAGTACATTTACAGGAGTTACTTATTAATTTATTTAACGAAACGGTTTCAGTACTACTTTAACTGTTACTGAATTGTCAGAATCTGCATTTGATATTATTTTTTCTCAAAAGAAAACAAAAGAAACACATACACATAAAAAAGCAGAGAATGCAGACATGGGGCAGAATATCTGTCCCTCTCCAACAACTGAAACGAACAGTTTACAAAATAATAAAATTCTTAATAAACCAAGCAGTACAAGATTTTCCAACACTTTCCCAGCTACTGTATTTAAATTAAAATATATTTTCATATCTTACACTATTTCAAATAACGAAATGTGATTCGGTAGCGATCTGTCAAAATCTAATTTACAATTCTGTGTATAAAAATATAATTTATGGAACCCCGCGAGGGTTTTTTTTCCTCTCTCCCCAAAATATAACAGTCAGCTGAGATATATAT